GGCCGTAGACAAGTATTTGATATTTTATCTTGAGTAATTTCTATATCACTGCTTACATATAGTTATACAGTATTACCTTAACCTAAACAAGCAATTTCGTTTCCTTACAGGTATCAGTAGCAGCTCGTGATGATGTGCCATTCTTTGGACCAACCCTACCAGCACCGTCCATCTTCAAGAAGGGCCAGGACTTCAGGAATTTCCTACTCACCAAGCTCATCAACGCAGAGAATGCCGCCTATAAGAGCGCCAAATTCGCCAAGTTGGCGGTTAGTCACTGGTTTTTTGCTGTTATTCCTCTGCAGTCGAATAGTCGAACCCTTACAGGAACGAACACGCTCGTCCCTTCTGGACAGCCTGTATGCCAACTTGAAGGGCCGTGCCGAGTTCTACGGTTCCCCATTGCTCGAAAGTACCGAACATTCCGGTGGACTTTTCAGTTCTGTCAAGAAGGCACTTATCGGCAGGTTGGTACGGTTCGATTTTATTGGGAGATGGACCACCTGGGGAGGACCAATCTCGTCGAAGGGTACCAGCCAAGTAGACTCGCCGCCGTTCGGCTTGGGAGGAGCATTTTGCACATTTGCTATTTTCTTTCGCTAGATCTTGTGAAATTTCACATCTCACCTCTATGGGACTTGTAGACTCTCAACAAGCGTAAACAAAGCTCCAGCTCTAGCTTTGCAGCAATTCGCAGGTCTCCACTGGAAGCATCCCAGTCCCTCTTCCGGGTACGGTATTGAACTAAAATCTTTAGATCACGCTCCGTCTCACAAGAAGTTAACACACCAGCTCGTACGGTTTCAATGTCCGTTCCACTACGAACATTCACGGTACCAAAACGAGCAGCAAATTCGGAACGAGATAAGAGTTCCAGCTCCAGTGGTACCAGTTCGTTACGTCGTGACAGTCTAAGCAGGGACGATCGGAGGTAAGCAGACCGATGCCTCAATGAGTCACGGCCACCTGAACATGCACTTTTTCACTTTCAGTGACTCTCCAGCCGAAGGTGACGCCCTACCGACAACTGTCTCACCAAGAGGAGTTCAGAGAAGGATTGTCGGGCGACATGTGAGCGCCAAACCGTCCTTCAACCTACAATCAAGGTAGGGT